CACATATTCAGCAGCCAACGCAAAGTGCCAATATCAATATCGACAGTAACAGTCTGATTACATGTCCGTCTTACCTTTCCTCTAAGCGCCAAGTTTGAACCAGAATCATTCGTCACCCCTCACTGCATCACTTTCACCAAACTCTAAGATCAATTTGCTGCTCCACATTGTTACCGTGCTCCCTAACCAGGTCTATCTTATCATACTTCAATATTCCACGAAGTTGTGCAGAACCAGACAGTCTGTCCTGCTGATCATTTCCTAACACACCGGCATTCCCCTGAGAAGGGATCCAGACAATGATCTTCATCCTTCACCCCAAAGCGAAGCACGTGCGGTTCTTACCTTCCTTAGTAAGATTTCTGATTCAGTCACAATGACGATGTGTGTGTGTTTATCTCGTTCTCTAAAAAGCGAAAAGCTACATTCTTAAACTGGATGTTGTGTTACACAAATTAGTATCAGTCAATAGTTCACAACATTTATGAAATAATTTTATTTGCTAATAACTTTTAGCACAGATTTTACAGCTGATGTATCTATGTGGTTGTCATTGATGTATCTGTGTGGTTGTCTTTGATGTATCTATGTGGTTGTCGTTGATGTATCTGTGTGGTTGTCGTTGACATGGTTATTCTTCGTAGACTTTGTCTTCCTCTTCGTCTTCGCTGAAACGCGAATATATGTTGTATTATAAGAAACAGCAAAGTGTATTCTTCAAATTGAGGAGTGAATACAACATGATTTTTCAATACTACACAAATACACAGACTGTTTATGTGTACACTTTACACATACACACACATACACACAAATATATATATATATATATATATATATATATATATATATATATATATATATATATATATATATATACTTATACTAAATAAAAACGTTAAAATACAGGTTATAGATGATATATACCACTTAAAAACGTTAAAATATATATTCTAGCAAATCAAACTGTTCTAACCGACTAAGAGAAGAAACAAAATACATAATTTGTGTGTACGTGTGGTGTGTGTGGGCGTTTGGTATGTGTGGGCGTGTGGTGTGTGTGGGCGTGTGGTGTGTGGATGTGGTCCTGACCTCTGTCGCAAAAAGTCGGGTTAGGCATCATTAAGCACTGGCAACACATGTAGTCTATAGTACCCAGGATTTGTGGCATGCAATTTAAGAAGAGCTTTAACACTGGCCTCAAGTCATTATGGTTGCAAAAAAAAAAACTCACGTCTGGCAAGTCGGGCAACGGCTGACCAAACACTTTAGAGTGGTTTTTTTTTTCTGTGTAGGGCAGAAGTAAAATACTAACCTGGACAGTCCTTGGCAACAGCATTATCCATATGGGGCTAAATCGTCAGTTTAAAAGACCCCTGCACAGCCCTACACCCGCCCCGCCCCCCCCCCCCCATCCCAACCCCTTTCTTACACAGCAAAAGCGCTAAATTTCGACGACTGCGTTGTCCAACCTTTTCAAAAGCAATGTGACTAAATCTAACGCAGTGGTTTCAATAGCAATGTGACTAAATCTAACGCAGTGGTTTCAATAGCAATGTGACTAAATCTAACGCAGTGGTTTCAATAACAAAATGACTAAATCTAACGCAGTTGTTTCAATAGCAATGTGACTAAATCTAACGCAGTGGTTTCAATAGCAATGTGACTAAATCTAACGCAGTGGTTTCAATAGCAATGTGACTAAATCTAACGCAGTGGTTTCAATAGCAATGTGACTAAATCTAACGCAGTGGTTTCAATAGCAATGTGACTAAATCTAACGCAGTGGTTTCAATAGCAATGTGACTTAATCTAACGCAGTTGTTTCAATAGCAATGTGACTAAATCTAACGCAGTGGTTTCAATAGCAATGTGACTAAATCTAACGCAGTGGTTTCAATAACAAAATGACTAAATCTAACGTATCCACAGAAACACAAACAGACGCATACATATAAACATGCAAGCAGAGACACACACAGACACACGCAGACACAAATAGGGACATACGCAGCCTGCACACATACACCCACACACACACACACACACACACACACACACACACGCGCGCAGTCACACACACAGACACACATACGCACACAGACATGCACAAAAACCTACACAAACAGAGACACACGCAGACATTATCAAATAGATACACCCATGGAGAGGCACACACAGATACATACAAAGACACACACAGACACAGACAGATACACACGCAGCAACACACACAGACATACCTACAGACTCATACTGACACACACAGACACATACACTGACACACATATACACACACAGAGGCACACATACAAACTAACCCATATACACGCACACACATAGAGACACACACATACACACTCACAGACACACACATGCAGAAACATACGCACAGACACACACACGCACACACAGACACACACACACGCACACATTATCAAAAAGACACACACACAGCCACACACACACAGCCACACACACACCCGCAGACACACATAGGCATAGACACACACTCAGCCACGCCTACAGAGACACACATAGACACACACACACAAACAGACAGACAGACACTGACACACACACATAGTGACAAACACCCAGCCACACTCACATATATAAACATACAAGTAGACACATAGACACACACACAGAGAAACAAAAACAGCAACACACACAGATACACATACAAACACACACATAGACAGGCATGGGGCCGGAGAGTTGGCTAGGAAAAAGGGATAGTTTTAGGCGTGCCCTAATGAGAGCTACGTTCTGTAAAGGGCTTGCTGATTGATGGTGATTACAAGGCAATTTGACGTTCCGGAGCTTGCCTGGCTTGAACGGTTGGCCTTCTTACCTGAGTACTGATCAACACAAAGCGGACTGTTGCCATAGTGCATGCTGCTGGAATGCAACTAGGTATTTTGGAATTACTAAGTGCGTTCGCAGCACTTACATAATCAAACGCTGACACACTAATACCTATTGAAATGATTTCAAACACATCCACCGACACACTCACTCGTTGTGTCTATTTATAATGTTTTTAAGTAATCATAATATATGCATGTACGCACAGATGAGTTGCGAACGCGTTTCGTAATGCCGGAGTGCCGGATTCGATCAAATATACGGTCCATTTGGCAGCAGTTTATCTTGCATTAGGTTCGAAATTGTATCAAGAGCCAAGCTTTCAGGATACAATGGCAAACTACTGAACGTAAAATTTGCCTAGAAAAAAAGCCAGAACAGCCCTAAAATGATTGGCTTGGTTCTTTAACGTGCTGTAAAGGATAGGCAAATAGCTTTTAACGCACAGGCACCACAATAAACTTATAGGTTTAATAATATATATACGATGGATATGCGTTTCATTGCTGCAGTCTTTAAGTTTATGGAGGTGAGTTAAAAGACCAAAATATCGTCATTATCATCGTGTAGCAAGTCCTTAGCGGAATGCCACTCTCATCACGGTTTGCCTGAAAGAACCCCGACCTCTCAAAAACTCTAACGTTTCGTGCACTTTTATATCCAAGGAGTCACTTATATCATGTGCCCATCTTTGTGCTGGTCTCCCTCGCCCCTCCTTATTGGTACCATGTTATCTGCTATTATACTTCCCCCAAAACGACAATAATATACGTCATTAGTATCATCAAATTAACCCTATCTACTTCACAGTGTACACCGCTTAGAAGGATTCAGAATTGGAAGAATGAGAATCGTCTTGGGTTGCACATGGGACACCCCATTAGATCAATGAGGTACATGCTTCGGCTGACATCGGTAAAGTCCAAACTGTCACTGGCGCAAACCAAGGCCTAAACCCATATACCTATATACCTATACCTATGCGAATTATCAAAGGAATCCGCTGCAATGAAATGTAAACGATCTAAGACAAGACCGGTTGAAAAGAGGCAAATCATGGATGGCACTAGCCGAAGGTACCATCGAGACACAGGGGATAGGAATGAATCGATAAGAACATCCACTAGAGCAGTTTCCATCATGTCATTATCATGTTAGGAAGAGAATGTAGAGAGTGGTCTAACGTTATGGCAGAATTGGAGGTACAACAACTGTTAGATGTAAAGGCTGGACTACATGATGCAGTAGTGTACAGCCTTGGTTCTGTTCATCAGGGTGTAAGATCTGGCTGGGGATTTTCGCTAGAATAAAGGGAAAACTTGTGGCACAACAAAACAGAGCTTTTTTATCTACAACTTCAAGCATGAGATTAAAAGTGAAGACAATCACTGCAGCTCTGAAAGCAGAAAACAAAGTTACCAAAAGAATGATTGTGTTGATTCTCAGCCGGCATTGCGTTAAGGTTCAAAATAGACTAATGTGGCACGAGTGGATGCCCTGCATCAGTACGCCAACATTGCAGAGAATCACGTGGATTTACTACTCGGGAGATGCAGGATTGCGGGGAAATGAAAGAGCGGATTGTCTGGCTTCAAATGTGCAAGCTACGGGAACACTCGTACTGGACAAGGGAGGTATTCTGAAGACCATATATGAACGACAGTTGACAGAAGACACGGGATTAGACCTGGGCAAGAATGTGTGAACACGGAATTAATTGTGGATTAAGCAAGAAGGGACGGATGAGATGAGGAGATCGGCGTGTGTATAATCAGTGTGCTACGGGAACAGACAGCAGCTACACTTACTTCATTTGCTGCCGGAGCCTGAGCATCAATTAGTATGCCCGTTGTCTAATGGTGTCGATTCTTAAATAAGCAAATCAGTATCATTAGTTTTTAGTCGAGGTTCATTTTTAACTTCAGACACCCCCAACCCCCTCCCGCCTTCCCCTCCCCCCACCCCACGCAGCTACGTTGCCATACCAAAAAAGAATGCACAAAATGTCCTTTATTGTCTTATTTTGCACACCAAAATGAAGAAAAGCATATCTGTACCTGTGAAAACCTGAACCTCGCCCACGCAGTGTAGATACATAAGGCAACCGTTATGTGTGTCATTATATTTACCCTTTCTCACAAACATAATTGTAAGAAGACAAGCAAGGTTCTTCGTGCCAGGTTTGGTCTCCCCGCACCTCTAGTACTTTGCACAGTACGGTTCCTGCATTTGGGTGAAGAAAATATTATTTGTTGATAAATGTTAAAGAGGACATTATGAAACAACGTAGTGTAGGATATCACTACATCAAAACATAGCTCTTCATTAAAAAAAAAAAAAAAAGATATCAAGACATGGGAAATCGACACGTCGGGCGTCACCATGGGCGAGATACGATACTGGAAAACACTACGTGTCACAACACAGTGCATTCCCACATGTTGATGACAGCAAGGACATTGATACATACGGTGTCACAATATCACACATTGAAGCATAGAAAGTCAGTTAATAAGAAAACAGAATACTGGAAATCGTAGTCTAGATAGTCAGAAGAATAAATCGTCACAGGTGACAACACAGCAAGGGCATTGACAGATAAAAGATCAACACCTCTGACACAGGTCCATATTACGTTAAAAATGTATGACATCACAAAATATAAAAAAAAATTAGACATCGCAACGGAGAAATTTAAAACATAAGACATCGCAACACGGGAATCACTACATATCACATCACAACACAGGAGTCAAAACATAGGACGTCACAACATCTGAAACAAAACATAAGACACCACAACACAGGAATCAAAACATAGGACATCACAACACTGGAATCAAAACATAGGACATTACAATACAGGAATCAAAACATAGAACATCACAACACAGGAATCAAAACATAGAACATCAAAACACAGGAATTATTACATAGGACATCACGACGAAGAAACTATAAAAAAATAGGACATCACCACACAGGAATCACCACACAGGAATCACAACACAGGAATCACAAAATAGGACATCATAACACCTGAATCAAAACATAGGAAATCACAACACCTGAATCAAAACATGGGACATCAACATACTGGAATCACAGCAAAAACGTATAACACACAATAGGAATTAGAAAATAGGACCCACACAATAAAAGACATCGAAACGTGGGACATAATTATTCAAAAACTTTCATGAAGGAAGTCACGACAAAGAGAATCGCCACATATCAAAACAAATGGCATCATCACAACATGAGAAATCACAACCTAGAACATCACAAAATGAGATATCACAACCTAGAACATCACAACATGAGATATCACAACCTAGAACATCACAACATGAGATATCACAACCTAGAACATCACAACATGATATATCACCACCTAGAAGATCACAACATGGGATATCTCCACCTAGAATATCACAACATGAGATATCACAACCTAGAACATCACAACATGAGATATCACAACCTAGAACATCACAAAATGAGATATCACAACCTAGAACATCACAACATGAGATATCACAACCTAGAACATCACAACATGAGATATCACAACCTAGAACATCACAACATGATATATCACCACCTAGAAGATCACAACATGATATATCACCACATAGAAGATCACAACATGATATATCACCACATAGAAGATCACAACATGAGATATCACAACCTAGAACATCACAACATGAGATATCACAACCTAGAACATCACAAAATGAGATATCACAACCTAGAACATCACAACATGAGATATCACAACCTAGAACATCACAACATGATATATCACCACCTAGAAGATCACAACATGGGATATCTCCACCTAGAATATCACAACATGAGATATCACAACCTAGAATATCACAACATGAGATATCACCACATAGAAGATCACAACATGAGATATCACAAACTAGAACATCATAGCATGAGATATCACCACCTAGAACATCACAACATGACATATCACAACCTAGAACATCACAACATGAGATATCACCACCTAGAACATCACAACATGAGATAGCACAACCTAGAACATCACAACATACAACATTAAAACATGGATCATCAACAGTGGTGGCTATGCAGTCACCATGTAACCGAGACTGACCTATTTCCTTGGATTTTATTGATAACTTCCGATATATTCTTTCACCTTTCTTCTTCTTTCTGTTATTTATTATTTATACTTATTTACTATCCAACTGCTATGTGTAATGTCAGTAGTCGTTTCCTGGTTAATGAAAACAAATCTCAATCACTCAAGTGTTGTCTCCACAGTGAAGGTTTGCAGCAATGGATCTCCACAACGTTCTGTATTTGTCTTGGTTGTACACTCTCTCAGACTGCCCTTCGTCTATCTCCGGATGTTATCAAGTACACTCTCTCAGACTGGCGTTCGTCTATCTCCGGATGTTGTCAATACACTCTCTCATTCTGCCGTTCGTCTATCTCCGGATGTTATCAAGTACACTCTCTCTGACTGCCGTTCGTCTATCTCCGGATGTTGTCAAGTACACTCTCTCTGACTGCCGTTCGTCTATCTCCAGATGTTGTCTAGTACACTCTCTCAGACTGCCGTTCGTCTATCTCCGGATGTTGTCTAGTACACTCTCTCAGACTGCCGTTCGTCTATCTGCGGATGTTGTCAATACACTCTCTCAGACTGCTCGTCTATATCTGGATGTTGTCAACCCGCTTGTAACGTTGTCTACCTCTTGCTCTCTTGCCCTCAACCTGTCTCTCCAAAATGGTTTCTAAAAGCGTGTTATGTCTTTTAGTGTAGCCGATATTTTTTTAACGCAAAATAAAACAAGAAGAGATGTCGGTGTTATCAAATGGATAAATCAGGTTTAGCTGTAACAGGTTAAGATTTTAGTAATTTAAAAATATAACTTTGTTTGTTTAGGTTTCAACAAATTTATTTATTAGTCTTTTTCTGTTTGATTCGTTTTACACAAAATCTTCATCTTCCTCTTCGCGTTCACCGGCTTGAAACTTCGGTGGAATGTTCTAGCTGTTCGTCCACCCTGGAGGTTAGTCTTGTTCCGGAAACTCGGTGTTGCGTCCACATCCGTTTTACAGATCTAGCTTATCTGCATGCGGGTTGCTGGTTCCATGTCTTTCAGGCCGATGCACTAAGACTCTTATTGAGGCCTGAAACTATTCGACTCGTACGACATGCTTGTAAGTGTGGCAGTGGGTGTCTATTCTTGTTTCCCTCCACAATAGTCATGGGACCAATTGGGGAAGTTTCAGATAACATTAAATGACGATTATAGATTCCACGGCTGTAGATCCAGGGCTGCAGATGTAAATTCTCTCGGGCAGTCGAGTTCACTAACTGTTCCTCATTGGGAGTCTCTGGGTATAGTCCTGTAGATGCTTGTACAAATGAAAGGAAGAGGTCACACTTATGTGGAAAGTCAAGACCTGGCAGCAAATTCTACAGTTCAAGACAGTAGTGTGAGCCGAAGCGGCACAAAACGCAGCGGCTCTAGGGAAGATAAATTTCACTGAAACATAAAACAGAAACCTAAAGCAGATCTAAGTGCCTATGGGCTGAATGGTTCTGGGTTGTGCAGTCGTTACCATGGCCACATCTGATTGGCATCATGGGCGGCGCCAGGTACCAGACACTATCAGGGTGACCGTCTACTTCCTACAACAAAACATTTGTCTTTTATATTTTGTGCTTGGAGATCGTAGATCGTGCACTGAGCTTGATTTAATCTTTAGCAGACGAAAAATACAGAGTGGTAAGGAGAAGACAATGAATCTGAGAGCGAAAAAGAATAGAACAGAAGCAGAGGAGCCGGAGGGGTCAGAGGAAAATCAGAGCACTTGGCATTGAAGCATGACTAATTTATGAGTTTGATACCTTTTCTGGTTGAAAAGTTAGGTATAGATAATTATGAGAGTGCCTGATATATAAGCTACATTAATACTGTTGGACAGGAAGGAAATGAACATGGTCTGTTGGCGAAGACGTATGTGAAGCATGTATTTCTTGATCTGGTATAATGCAATCACACCGCAGGAGAGGTTCAGTATGTACAGATAGAAATCTGTGGCACAACCTGGAATGTTTTCAATTATTTTACTGCTGTGGACTCTCTTGTCACAAAATGACTCTGGGACCGGCTAGAGAATTTAGAGGAAATACCCGACAACGGCTGCTCATCTGTGGGGATTTCAGTGCGCAGAGGGAGGCGTAAAATATTACTAGGTAAAATAGACAAACAATGCCCTATCCGCCTGTTCGTTTCCCAGTACCTCTGAATACCTAAATGGAAAAAATCCAAAGGACGTTGTCACGTCTGAGGTGAACAGCGCCACCTAAAATAGTGACCTATAAAAGTAAACAGAAACACACGACAAGATTACCATCGTCTGCTTTGCCGCTGACCAGACTGGTGTAAATATAAACTGAGTCAGGATTGTGTGTCACAGCCCTAATGCCTAAATCGCTCTTTTCTTCTTCAGTCCAATGTGCATGTCCTGTGAATGGCAGTTACTTTAGTGTAACAAAATAAAACAGCAAATACATGTGAACGTTTATCGTAAATGTTCACATGAGAAGGAAGCGTAGATAGAGAATTAAACATGCGATTACATGGGATAGCTATACTGTATACTGCCTTTCAAATGTCATGTCCTCACACTTGAACAAATATCTCGACAAACTCCTGCACTGATCACAATGTTGGACCCTCACACTTGAACAAATATCTCGACAAACTCCTGCACTGAACATAAAGTTGTCTCCTCACACTTGAACAAATATCTCGACAAACTCCTGCACTGATCACAATGTTGTGTCCTCACACATTAACAAATATCTCGACAATCTCTTGCACTGATCACAATGTTGTACCCTCACTTATGAACAAATATCTCGACAAACTCCTGCACTGATCACAATGTTGTGTCCTCACACATGAACAAATATCTCTACAAACTCCTACAATGATCACAATGTTGTACCCTCACACACGAACACATATCTCGACAAACTCTTGCACTGATCACAATGTTGTACCCTCACTTATGAACAAATATCTCGACAAACTCCTGCACTGATCACAATGTTGTGTCCTCACACATAAACAAATATCTCTACAAACTCCTACAATGATCACAATGTTGTACCCTCACACACGAACACATATCTGGACAAACTCCTGCACTGGTCACAATGTTGTGTCCTCATATAAAAACAAATATCTCGACAAACTCCTGCACTGGACACAATGTTGTGTCCTCATACACAAACAAATATCTCGACAAACTCCTGCACTGATCACAATGTCCTCATACATAAACAAATATTTCGACAAACGCCTGCACTGATCACAATGTTGTGTCCTCATACATAAACAAATATCTCGACAAACTCCTGCACTGGTCACAGTGTTGTGTCCTCATACATAAATAAATATTTCGACAAACCCCTGCACTGGTCAAAATGTTGTGTCCTTTTACATAAAGGCATAACTAGACAAACTCCTGCACTGGTCAATGTGTTCTGTCCTCATACATAAACAAATATCTCGACAAACTACTGCACTGATCACAATGTTGTGCTCTCACACATGAACAAATATCTCGACAAACTCCTGCACTCATCACAATGTTGTACACTCACACTTGAACAAATATCTCGACAAACTCCTGCACTGATCACAATGTTGTGCCCTCACACATGAACAAATATCTCGACAAACTCCTGCACTGATCACAGTGTTGTACCCTCACACTTGAACAAATATCTCGACAAACCCCTACATTGGTCACAGGGTTGTGTCCTCATAGATAAACAATATTTCGACAAACTCCTGCACTGGACACAATGCTGTTTCTTCATAAAAAAACAAATATCTCGACAAACTCCTGCACTGGTCACAATGTTGTGTCCTCACACATAAACAAATATCTCGACAAATCCTGCTCTGGTCACAATGTTGTGTCCTCACACATAAACAAATATCTCGACAAACTCCTGCTCTGGTCACAATGTTGTGTCCTCACACATAAACAAATATCTCGACAACCTCCTGCACTGGTGACAATGTTGTGTCCTCACACATAAACAAATATCTCGACAAACTCCTGCACTGATCGCAATGTTGTGTCCTCACACATAAACAAATATCTCGACAAACTCCTGCTCTGGTCACAATGTTGTGTCCTCACACATAAACAAATATCTCGACAAACTCCTGCACTGATCACAATGTTGTGTCCTCACACATAAACAAATATTTCTACAAACTCCTACACTGGTCACGATGTTGTGTCCTCATACATAAACAAACATCTCGACTAACTCCTGCAATGATTAAACAGATTTTTTGCATGTAGCCTTAGAAAGTCCATGTAGCCTTAAAATGTCCACATGACCTTATAATGTCCACGTAGCCTTAAATGTCTATATAGCCTTAGAATATCTGTGTAGCCTTAGAATGTCCCTGTAGCCTTAGAATGTCCATGTAGCCTTAGAATACCCATGTGGCCTTAGAATTTACATGTCCTTGTTATTTTATAATTTAATATTGCACTGAAGCTGCGGTTTTTTTAAACGAATCTGTTTGATCTTTGTTTGACTAATAACTTCTGTACCCCTAAAAATAGAATGTACAGTAATTGGCACACAGATAGAAATTGTATGGAAATCAGTTCACATGTGTAGGGATGTGTGGTGGTTTTTTTTTTTTTTTATAGCATATCCCGCTTCAGTCAGTCAGTTCTCGTTATGCCTAGCGGAAAATGGGGCTTCAGAGAGGACTTTACATGCTTTCCTGTCCTGGGCAATTTTCAGTGCAGTTTTCCATGTCAAAGATGCCGCACTCAGGTCACTTTCCATCGTTCGTCTCCATGTTGTTTTGGGGCGCCACTTTTCTATCTTTTCCTCTGGAATCTACGTGAGAGCTGTTTTGGCAGGTATATTAGGATTAATTTTTATAACGTGGCCAAGCCATTTCCATCTTCTCTTGGTTACAATACTGTCTAGAGTTTCTTGGTTTGTGACTGGAAGTATTTAGTATTAGAGATTGTATCTGACCAGACAATTTTGACAATTCTACGTAGACATGTGTGGTGGAAGGTGGACAGCTTGTGTGCATCCTTTTTGGTCATTCTCCAGCATTCCGCTCCATAAAGGAGAACTGGCAAAATAATGCTCTTGTAGAGTCGGAGTTTCGACCATCTGCAGTGACTGTTGGATTTCCAGATTTGCCTCATCCTTCCAAAAGCAGCTCTGGCTTTGTTCAGGAGTGACTGTATTTCTTCCTCTGTCCCTCCCAGTAGGGACACCACACCGGCAAGATATGTGAAATGTTCTACATTTTCGAGTGTTTAATTTTTTTATTGTCACTGGTTGTTGGTTCGGACTGTTTGTCATGATCTTAGTTTTCTGTGTATTTATTCTCAGTCCCACCATTTCTGCTGTGCTGTGTAGTCTGTTACTTTTTTCTTGTATATGTTCATGTTTGTGTAATAGGAGTGCTATATCATCTGCAAAATTAAAATCCCCAAGCATGGTGAATGGAGTCCATAGTATGCCTCTCAATGTCTTGTCTATTGTGTTCTTTAGTATCCAATCAATCACAGGGTTGAAGAGGAGAGATAACATAACGCATCCCTGTCTTACACCTGTCTTTACTTGGAAAGATGTATTGTATTTTTTTTTTATATACATATCCCGCATAGAATGATAAAAATTAAGAACTCAAAGGATGCCAATCCTGAATCTGAGCACAGAGTGAAACGAGTGCAGTGTGATAGCTTTTACTCCGTTTACTGTAAGCACATTAATTGTTTGACTCTGTCTGGTGTTTTATTTACCGCAAATAGGGCAAAATGAAACGAGATGTTTATTTATATTTGCTCCTATCCACACACACACATACATACACACACACACAAGCACACACACATACTCTCACACACACACAAGTTGCTTACAGGGACATGATTATTACAAGGTTGCATGCCAAATGTCAACAACTGACACCTAGCGGTTACTGAGTTTAAGTTGGTCACGACTCCTGGCGCGGACTGTAGCACTATTTTGACACTTGGAATGATACCTTTATCTACCAAGACAATTGTAATAACATTTGTAGCAGAGCTGTCTTCTTTGTTGCGCATGAAGATGTCACAAACAACATCAAGAATATTCTGAATGGCGATGTGTTTTCTCTGTGGTTACATACTCTTGAGGTCGCGTTGTGTTCTTTATCTCTAGTTACTTTGTTAACTTGTTCTAGTGTCTGCAACTGCAACCTGGCTTCTAGTGTTGTCTGGTACTACGGCTTAATCGTTGACTCTAGCATCTCAATAGTGTCATTACCTAATGTGTCTCTGTTATCCGTGGATCCATGTATCCTGTGTGTTGTCTTAGTAGCTCGATGTTTTGTTTCATGCCTTCTCTCTGGTGTCTGTCTTCGAGGCTGAAAGTGACTGGTTCATCCTGCTTCTAGTGTTAAGCTGACATCTCTACAACTGAAAGTTGTCTTTGAGGGTCCATGTTACTAGCCTTTCCTCTTTCAAGTCTTGAAGACCGAAGGATGCTAAAGTGGTTTGTAACTCATTATTTATACTTGTATGCTGTAATGCTAGGTATTTGTTTTCTTCTCTTCTTGAAATTTCTAATAAGTCTCAACATGTTTCCTCACGTGGTATTTTCTAGTTATATCTCCACTGCACCAGATTTCATCATCTTTTTCTGCGCAAACTTAGTAATTAAAGTGACAGTTGAGATCATAGAGACTCCAAGAAAGCAAGTAATACTACGTTCTCTCTGCAAGGGCACGTCAACAATGACGTCAAATACTATTTACAAAATATTGTTGCTAAGACCTGTTGATTTTCGTCCCATCAACTAATACGCTGTATCCTACCTCCTGACAAACAAATGATGACGTCAGTAGTTAGTTTTGGCGGGAAAAGAAGGTTGCAAAACATGTTGATCTCGGTAAATCTTAGTTTTGCGCAATATCCTACCTCCTAACAAACAAGTGATGACGTCTCCCTGTTACACATTATCTGGTCACCCTTGTGTACCAGTGTCACACTTGGACCATTACTAAAACGAGAAGCGAAACATAGTAACAGCAGGGAAGAGATGTCTTAGAAGTAACGCAATACAACAGGAACAACGAACTAATGTCAACACCTGGCACTATGATCTTATGAAACAGTCAATAAAATTAACAAGTCACTAATGGAAAAAACATGGAACAGCTGGTGAAAAACAAAAAAAGATCACAAGAGACACTAACACAGGGGAACGATAATCACAAGTGGGGCATCACTAATTCTACCATGAGGTTATTGCAAGAAAAAAAAAAGAATATATTTCAAAATCATCAACAGCAGGACAGCTTTTAACATTTCGTCGATCCTCACAAGGCCTTGTGGGCCACCAGCCTTTGAAGGACAGCACCCGATGGGCATTCGACAGCTATCGCAATCGCAGCACCCACAGAACAACTGAGACCGAAGTAGTTCTCAAAAGAACAACTGCCATCACAGAAGGAACAGGGACAAGAGGAGAAGAATGGACAGGAGGAGGAAAATGAAGAGGGGGAAAATGACAGAAGAAGAAAAAGAGGAGAGGGAGGAGAAGGAAGAGATGATGTAAACTTTGCATAATGCACACATGACATACATCAAAATGTGTTGGAAATTTATTGCGAGATTCCTAGTTTGTTTTCTAATTATCAATACTTAATATGTGGGTGTGTGTGTGTGTGCGCGCGCGCGCGTGTGTGTGTGTGTGTGTGTGTGTGTGTGTGCGCGTGTGTGTGTGTGTGTATGTTGAAACAACGTGTATATAGGTCTTACTTTTTTTAGCTCCCGTCTCAATACTCGCAAAATCTATTGTTTCTGGACTGTCGACCTTCAGAAGATCATCTGCGTAAAGTCTGCACACATCCTGATGATTAAAATGATGATGACACCAATGCCTAAACTTACTCATGAGCGCAAAACAATGAGCTCAAGTTCTTAATGGAAACCTTTCATGCAAGATTAAATAAGTTAATTAAGGCACACTTATTTATCTCGGTGTCTTGTTGCTCTTTAAACACATTTTTTTTTTTAGCTGGGCAGTAAGACTTTATCCTTTGTCTTTATGTGGAGGACAATGCAGTGCTAACTATTGTCAGAGGCAAAAAAGTGCCACGACTAAAAGCAAATATATTGCCTATCCGCTATATTGAACGAAAGTGGGCACACAAATATATGGAGAATGTGATCTGTCTTTTGATTTTAAAAAAAAAGAAAAACATCCAAACATGTTCTTTTTTGTCAGCGTTTAACGCTGTAAACTCAACGGAAATATTCGTTTGTTCGCCCACTTATGAGCTTTAGTTTTTTTTTCTCCAGAAACTGAGTGTTGCATGCACATCCGTTTTACAGATCTAGCTTAATTGTATAGAAACGGTTGGTACCTCACCTCCTATGAAGATGCACACCGGCTACTGAGTCGACAGGCTTGATCGAGGTCAGCAGGTCTATTACTGCCTCTTTCCTAAAATAGAGCTCCGGAAACCATACAGAAGAAAAGTAGAAACACCTAAACAAGCATAGAAATGCCTAAACAAACATAGGAACGCCTAAACACACATAGAAACATATAAACAAGCACAACAAACATAGAAACACCTAAACAAACCTAGAAACACCTAAACAAACATAGAAACACCTAAACAAACACAGACACGCTTAAACAAACATAAAAACATCTAAACAAACATAGAAACACCTGAACAAACCTAAAACACCAAAACAAATATAGAAACACTTAAACAAACATAGAAACACCTACCGGAGCATAAAACCAAGCAATAGGGTCTTCTTCGAATTGGAAACACACGCGATCGTATGGAGGAGTTCCAGTGTTGCAGCTTGCAAGACCTTACAGATTCCAGAACAGATAAGTTAATCCGACATAGCCTTAAAAATGACGACTTTTCGCAATATATACGGTGTTCCACAGATGCCTTAACAGTTTCTTTAATATGCATCTTCACATCAAGAACTACACAACTCTTACACCACCGTTCGTTATTATGTGACAACTTTGACATGGCGAACTACACAACTCACATGCCACGGTACGTAATTATTTAAAAACTTTGACTGTGAAAGAATCTATCGCACATGGACTTGAACTTTTCGTTATTCCCTCTGGTCCCTCTGGTCTCTGGGAAGTGAGATCGGACATCCGTGTGCATTGTGGCGCACGTAAAAAAAAACCTTGGCAGTTAGTGCTACATAGCATGCGCACTGTGCTGGGCTTCTTCGGACTCAGACTTGAGTAAGAAGAAGAACAGAGCAATTATCTGGTAATCTGGTAATCTGGTAATCCTAGTTTCAGCTTCATAGCAAACGGGTCACCCCACACTTGCTCCGCTCCTGTGCCAACGAAAAACAAACGCAGCTCACAGTGTCACGCCATGCACTCAACTCAGAAGCTGGGCGACGAAACTACATCCTTCCAGTCTACAAATGGAGCAAAAATGCAACGGCCACCGTCTGGAAAAAAATTTGCCACGGCTTTAAAAAAAAAAAAAAAAAAAAAAAAAAAAGGTGGCCGTACCTAGCGTCCATTTTGACCGGAAGAATTATATGAGGGTTAATAAACGGTCACCCCAGCAGTACCCTCATTATTAGCTGGGGAAGGGACTTAGGACATTACATCCACCAGCAGGCGTCGCCCCTACAACGACCTGCCTGCCCTCGTTAACGACTGTTCACCCAACAGCTTTGCAGTTCTTTGGCACGAAGGAGACACCTTGAACTTGGGTTTCGTACTGCTGACTCCCTACTAAGATGTTATTTTATGTTCTGTTATCACAATTAATGTCACTGCACATTGGGCATACCCATGCGTGCTCAGTTCTCCGAAGCAGCAGCCACTCTAAAGTACTTCTACTAATTGTCCCCATGAGAAGCTGGTTATATTGTCTCCTTTCTCGGCCTCGAAGACGGCAAAGACGTGCATCACCATGCTTAACTCCCATGTCACGCAATCGTGTTAGTGTCAGGGATTCCTCATTCTCCACTAGCCCGGTTCGTACAGCGTTGACTATGTCTGCTCTGTCCATACTTTTTCCTGCAATCATTAGTGCAGTGCTTGCCAGTTGGTCTGCTCGCTCATTTCCCTTCACGCCCGCATGACCCGGTGTGTAGATCCAGGTTACGGAGGTTAAGTGCGATTTCCTGATGCTTTCTATCCATTCAGAGCGCATACTGCCTGTTGCTATCTTCTGAAGCATATTCATTGAGTCTGAGACAATTACTACCTGTGTGGCGGTTTGCTCGGATACCCATGCTAAAGCTCTAGAAGCAGCGGCTATTTCCATTGTCATGCTTGACGTGGTTGTCTGGTAAGCGCCGCTGTCCTCATGTATTGTTTTCCCCTTTCTTTGCGCTGTGTATGCCCATGCTGACCTTGATCCGCGCTTCACAGATCCATCTGTGTAGATGATGGTATCTTCTGGGTCTGAATGCTGATCTATCAGTTCCCTTACTTCTGTGTCTACCGCCGCGGGAATTTGATCCCTGCAGTACCTTCCGAGTGTGATGACAACCTTAGAAATGCCATGCATGTCTACTGGTGTATTCGTCCATTCTTTTCCGTGGCTGATCACGTCTAGGTCACATACCTGCTGGATTAAGTCCTCAGCCTTTGCCATCCAAGAGCGGCCCCTTTTGAGACGCGTTCCTTTTGTGTCGTGAATAGCTTTGTGTAATGGGTGGTTAACATCTGCCGATACCCTCATGTAAGCCTTGACCTGTGCCACTTTGTATCTGCTTGTCATAGTCGGCAGACCCAGGATATAACGCATGGCGTTGCAGGAGGTGTCTTTTGTGCAGCCGAGTATGAGTCTCATGGCCTCATTCTGTACTCGGTCCAGTCTTTCTAGCTGGGTTTTGCTGACAGTGAGGAGGCCGAGACCATAGTCAATGACGCTAAGCACAAGCCCTTGATAGAGAAGGAAAAGTAGACGTTGTTCAATATCAGCTGCTGCTAGCACCTTGAGTGCTGTCAAACCTTTCCTGGCTCTAAGTATGACGTTGTCTACGTGGCATTTGTATGACAAGCATCTGTCAAATGTCATGCCCAGGTATTTCATGGTGTCCGTTCTCTCGATGTCCACACCACAGATGCTTACGACTGGCGTTGGTGTACTCACGATGTGGGTATTCAGAGAGAACCATGTTAAGGAGGCTTTGGACGGGTTCACATGAGCTCTTGATTCCTGGCACCACTCACTAAGTCTGTCTAGTTCGTGTTGTAGTGTGGTTGTAATTTCCTGCCTGTTTTTACCTCGACGGTACACAAGGATATCATCTGCATACGACATTGTTCTGCCTAGGCCTACGCGTTGTGCACTAGTGACTCCTGCTGTGTACACATTGAAGAGCACAGGCGACAATGGTGATCCCTGGGGCAGACCCATTAGGACGCGTTGAGGTTCGGATGCCCATTCACCACATCGAAGCGACACTGTTCTTTCAAATAGCGCTGCTGCGATCCAGTTGACCAAATTTGTTTCTATCTGCATATCCAACAGCAGTCTGATGAGCATGTTGTATGGGACGCTGTTGTACGCATCTTCTAAGTCAATAGCGGCTGCAGCCGTTTCTATTCCCTCCTGTAAACCTTCGTATGTGTCGTAGGCAAATACAGCAGCATTGCACCATGTATCTCTTCCTGGTCGGTAGCCACCTAGTGTAGCGGGGAAATGGCCACCCGACTCCAATATTTGGGTTAACGTTCTGGCAACGATTTTTTCCATGAGTTTTCCTACAGTGTTCTGGAGTGTGATGATTCTGTAGCCATTTATTCTCGTGTGGTCTTTTCCTGGCTTAGGAACCGGTCTGAGGTAGCTGTGGAGCCAGTCATCAGGAATAGTGCCAGTTTTCATGGTGTTGTTAAAAATCGTGGACAGTTCATCAATATCTGTCGCCTCGAGGCTTTTGAAGTGGCTGTATCTAATGCCATCAGGCCCTGGAGCTGTGTCCGGACAGGTCTTCAGTGTTGCTCTGATGCAGTCCGTTGAGATGTATACTGTATCATCGACTTCCTCCATTTCAGCCATCTGGATATCATATAAACTCTGTCTTATCTGTTCCCTCTCTTCCCTATCTTTCTTTTCCGTCTGCAGAAGAAATCTGTGCAGGATAGCCTCGCCCTTGTCTTTATCCGATTGTAACACCACCCCGTTGTCCATCTTTAGCTCGGGCATAACAGAGGTTTGTTTGCCTCCGTTCATCTTTTGGTGAAGCCGCCAGAATTTTTTAAGTGATTTTTCATAACCTATTTCCTCGCAAAAATGTTCCCACATTGTGTGCTTAGACTCCTTAGCGAGTTGTTTAAAATGTTCAGTGAGTCTGTCTTTTTTGTGTATAATGTCTTGTTTCAGCTCCTCAGTAAAATTCGAAGACTTTCTGCATTTCTCCCAGTCTTTGGTGGCACCTCGTTTCTCTGTCCAGGCTTCTGCGACTTCAGGTGTCCACCACGGGGGCTGTTGAAAGATAGTTTTCTTCTTTCCCGGTGTTCTGCGTGACCTGTCTCGCAGTCGCCCAATTACATTAGGCTGATGTGCAGCGTACTGGAAAGTAGTGGCTGGTCTCTGATACCTTGTACAGATTGTTTGTTTGACCAGAATCCAACATGGAAGGTGGTCGCTTCCATGATGTCCCAGTACGCCCCACTGGCAGAGTGCACTCATACTGGGAGAGACCAGCGTGAGATCAAGGGCACTGTCAGTATCACCTTCTCTGTCGGGGATTCTGGTGGGTCTGCCATCATTCAAGCAGATTAAATCCGTGTCTGTTAGTGCTTCCTCCAATGCCTCGCCCTGCTTATTGACCGTCGGATTGCCCCATAGACGACCTTTGGCGTTGAAGTCCCCTATGTACCCGTGTGCCATGATGTTGATCCGATGTTCAAACCTCAAACTTCGTACTTCAAGTCAGAGCCAGCTATAACACCACTGCTCACAACAACGAGTGAAAATACAATGAACGAGTAACAAACAACACAGAAACCATCGCGATAAGAAGCCAATACACCTTGACATCCCTGTAACGTAGACCAACCTGAGCAACCACCAATGAAAGGTCAACTAGACTGCAGTTGGGCCAGACTTCATAAATACAACCAATTTACTTTTATGTTTACTACACATGATAAGACTGATTGATCAACACCTTTTCCTCTTTCAAGACGATAGTATTATACTGCGCCACGAGGAGTCAAGGGACTCACAGCCCATGGCGTTGGCGAATGTGACTATTTTAAGTTGATTTACTTCAAAGCCTAGATTTGTTGAAATAATATATAAAACTACGATTTTCGGGCCAGCAGGCAGCGTCTAGCCGCTAGGGGGCCGAAGGCAACCTCTACAATAACAGCTGGTTGCAATAATCTGTAACAACCTCCACAATAACAACTGGTTACAATATATCTGTTACGTCCTGCATGGATGCCAGAACCTTTGTACAAATAGGGTACTATATGGCCTTTGTCGAGTGAAACTGTCTCTTGGTACAACGCCTGCTGTTTTGGTACTTTCCAAAATGTATGCATGGATATTTGAAATGTTGGCGTTAAAAGTTAGTGTTATTGAAAGAAGCCCGGTGTCATTTATACACTTGGTAGCAAATGTTCCAGCATAGTTAAAAAAAAGAACAACTTCATAAAGGCTGGAGAGGGCTAATAGTGCAGGATCAACAAGATTTGTTTAGGAAATAAACCTTAACATTTTGGTTTACGATTTCAGAAGACAAGCATGAAGATTAAAAGTGCTTTCCATCAGAATCCAAATGTTTGCTTAGTCTTTTGGCATTACCTCACTCCTCGGCAGCTGCAAAATGAGTTTTCTCTCTGCTGAACAATATTAAGATTAGATTATCACCAAGGACTTTTCTTGAAGGAGCTGAACAATGAATGAAATGTGGATATCAATGTTATTGCTCCAGGACATTTGTTGCATCAACAGGAAGCGGTTACAACAGCTTTGTAACAAACTGTCCCGGAAACAATGGTTCAGCAGTGATGCAATGAGTACAAAGTTTTAAGTCTGATCAAATAAAAAGTTTAACCAATTACTTTTGTGTATACAGTATAGGGAATACGTTTTTCGAAAAGGTTCCAGAGCACCGCAAAGGGTATCACATTTTTCATTTTTGGTTAAACAAACGGCTTTTAACACACACACACACACACGGACACACACACGCACACACACATACATACACACACATACACATACATACACACACATACATACATAAATATACATACACACACACGCACACACACATACATACACATACACACACGCACACACACATACATACACACATATACACATACACACACACGCGCACACACACATATACACACACACATACACACACCCACACACACACATACACACACACGCACACACACATATACACACACGCACACGCATACACACACATGCACACACGCACACGCATAAACACACACGCACACACACATACATACACACATATACACATACACACACATGCACATACATACACACACACACATACACACACATATACATACACACACATACACCCACACACGCACACACACATATACACACACACATACACACACGCATACACACACACACACACACACATACACACACATACACACACATACACACACAAATACACGCACACGCATACACACACATACACACAGACATATATATATATATACACATACACATACACACACACGCACACACATACACACACATACACATGCACACATACACACACATACACACACACGCATACACACACACATACACACACACGCACACGCATACACACAGATACACATATACACACACATACACACACATACACACACATACACACGCATACACATGCACACACATACACACACACGCACACGCATACACACACACATACACACACACGCACACGCATACACACACATACATACACACACGCATACACACATACACACACATACACACACACACACACACGCATACACACATATACACACACACATACACACACCCACATGCACACACGCACACGCATACACACATATACACACACGCATACACACATTTACACACACACACACATACACACACACATACACACATATACACACACGCACACGCATACACACACACACGCACACACACGCACACGCATACACACATATACACACACACATAAACACACCCACATACACACACGCATACACACACATATACACACACATAGACACACACGCACACGCATACACACACACATACACACATACACACATACACACACATACACACACACTCACACACACATACACACACATACACACGCTAAAAATGTGGTACCTTTTATTGTGAAATGGTACCGTTAAACAAAAATATTGTCCTTCAAATAGACATGTTTATTTTCGATGATAAAAACAATAGTAAATTTTTCACAAAATCGAAAAAGACCCTTTTCACATAATTACACCAGAGTTTGTTCAGCTCTCGTTAGGGGATGTAGTCTAAATCAGCCTTTTTTTTCCAGCATTTTACATGAGATCTTTTTTAAAGAATTCCACAAACCGACGTGAAAGCCAGTTGCCGCAGTGCCAGTGAGGCTCACACAATACTAAAGGCCCATACACAATGTCACAAAAGAACTACAGTAATTAAACAGTTGAACATACCAGACTGAACCATCATCGACAGGAAAAGGGTAACTGTTAGCTGTCGAAGGAGAAGACAAAGAATAACAACTCATTACTATATCTATATTTTTCAATAATTCATCATCAATGGCTTTTCTAACCCTACCTTGGTGTGTTCTATATTTTAAATGTTTTATCACTGCTTTTCAAGTTTTCTTTGAAACTATCTTTGTTTAATGACAGCTAAGAAACTAATCATCTTATTGCTTAAATTTTCTCTTTAAAAGAAAAAAACTGTTGGAGTGGGTGTCTTCTGCAATTTAATCAAATCTTCATTCTTTGCTCTACAGATATGTGTTAGTGTCTATGGCTTAAGCACGAATGCCTTTCATAATTCCAAAATACTCTGTTTGGTTTCAGCTGCACGCAATTTGAGGCAACGAGAGTGGATATTTCAAGGTGAACATTGTGATTGCTGCCTTGTCCTACACTGGGCAGAAGTGATGTAATCTATGCATTGCGTTGCGCTTATTGCGAGGACGCCAATTTTCATAAGCTATGATTCCGTATGCCATCAGTGCCAAACGTTGACAATCACATCCTCTAATGAAATTACAATTGTAACAACAGAGATTAAATGCCTCAGAACAGCTGCAGGTGTTTCAAAGAAAGACAGAATACGAAATCAGACAGATGCTAGAAATAAAGCCAGTCTTACGGGTCATCAAAGAACAACAAATGAAGTGGTTTGGACACCTAACAAGAATGACCTGGTACTATCTACCACAGCCAGCAAAACTGAAACGTTACAACGGGTATAGAGCGAAGGAAAGACCTCGGAAATTATGGAGTGATGGCAGAAAAAAACAGCTTTACATAAATGAACATCAATCTTAATACTGCTCTTGACAGAGCTCATCAACGAAAGTTAATCTCGCTCGGACACTTCACTAAGATACAAGCGGAAGAGTAGAAGATGATGAAGATTACGTACTATCGTCTAATGTGGGTGACATAGGAATGCAAACTAAATCTACATCAGCGGGTGTCAACCTGCCTGTCGCGACCTTTTTGGGTCAATGGACCCCTTCACACTGGTCGACTAGGACCATCGGGGAAGACATATTTATTCACTGAAGCTATGAAGGAAAACAATCGTTTGGGGGTTGCCACAACATAAGGGAACTTTATAAAAGGGTCGAGGCCTTAGGAAGGTTGAGCGCTACTGATCTACACGAACCTAACACTTCATTAAGTGCCCAGGAAGTTAATCAAAAGACAACGGCAGAAGATCCGTCGCTTTCTTACTGAGAAGGAAAGATCGAACTATCTCTGGATTTGTTCGGGGAGCTATAGCAAATGAATACATGAATAAATGACTAAAGAATTTAGAATTTATATCACAGTACTCAAAACATGGGCGCACATAGCCAACGAAAAGCTCCCAAACGGATGCTTCCATGTGCTGTTTGATTTAAATGTCACCTACTTTTCTCATTCAGACAGGAAATCGTCCAAAACCTATCTGCCTCACTCTCAGGGTAATAATTGTTTCCAGAAATGTATGTTGTGTTTTCACTGTTTAATTAAACCTGGAGAGTTTTCGCTACGTCCGTTTTATTATTGTATAGATCAACGCCCAGAGGGACAGTAGCAGCTAATATATCAGCCTGCTCATCGCAACACACATACTAATATCATAAGGAAGACAGCTCACCGTATGTAAGCTTCTTATATGTAACAATAGGCGATGACGTTTTGATAGTCGTTACAAATATATAATCTCATTTCGGTAATTATGGGGAGGCTGTGGCAAAACAATAATTAGGGTGTGCACTTTCTGGTCCTATGATCGTGGGTTTGGATAATATTTTTTTTCTTCTGATCGTCCTCCAATCTCCTCATAGAAGTGGGGTGGGGTGGGGAGGGGTGGGGGGTGTCAATCCTCCTTGTGCTCTTTCCAATGCGTTGTAAACGTTGGTGTTCATATATTTGAGGCTGGTCTTGGTGTCGTCCTTCCATGATTTCCATGACCTTCCTGGCGCTCTGAGCTCATTACACCTCTTCTTCTTGCTTTCTATGGCAGCTGACGGCAGTGCATTAGCGTCAGCTGGCGAAAACGATCTCATCAGTTAATTTTTAATGAACTGTGTGACTGGTTTTCAGCCAAGCTTTCTCTATTAGTTATAGTTGTTATAATTATGGGCTCATTAGTTATATTTGTTATAATTATGGGCTCACTAGTTATATTTGTTATAATTATGGGCTCATTAGTTATATTTGTTATAATTATGGGCTCATTAGTTATATTTGTTATAATTATGGGCTCACTAGTTATATTTGTTATAATTATGGGTTCATTAGTTATATTTGTTATAATTATGGGCTCATTAGTTATATTTGTTATAATTATGGGCTCATTAGTTATATTTGTTATAATTATGGACTCATTAGTTTTATTTGTTTTTTTTTTATTATGGGCTCATTAATTATATTTGTTATAATTATGGGCTCATTAGTTAATTTTTTTATAATTATGGGCTTATTTGTTATGTTTGTTATAATTATGGCCTCATTAGTTATATTTGTTATAATTATGGGCTCATAAGTTATAGTTGTTATAATTATGGGCTCATTGGTTATTTTTGTTATAATTATGGGCTCATTACTTATATTTACTATAATTATTGGCTCATTGGTTATATTTGTTATAATTATTGGCTCATTAGTTATATTTGTTATAATTATGGGCTCATTAGTTAGTTTTGTTATAATTATGGGCTCATTAGTTATATTTGTTATAATTATGGGCTCATTAGTTATAGTAAGGGTTCGAAATTGATGCTGATGGTATAAAGATAACCAAAAATACCTACTATTCAATTTGGTCGACAAAGACATCATTCTATGTTTCAAAAGTGTTTTAGTTGTGAACTGCATTATGCAGTTTTTATCGCAAATAGTTGATCTGGATTCCTTAGTCGATCAGTCTAAACTGATAACATTATCTTTGGCAGTAACGTCGAAGTAGCTGAAATATGTTATCCATATCAAACGCCAAGGAAGACAGCCACACACACACACACACACACACACACACACACACACACACACACACACACACACACACACACACACCATAATAATAATAGAAGGCATGGTACCAGGAAAGAAGGGGCAGGTGTCGACCAACATAAAAATGAATACCTGATATAAGCCACTTCTTAGCTATGAAAGTGCCCGAGATGGGAGACCCGGTATAAACCACTTCTTAGATATGAAAGTGCCCGAGATGAGTACCTGATATAAGCCACTTCTTAGATATGAAAGTGCCCGAGATGGGTACCTGATATAAGTCACTTCTAAGATATGAAAGTGTCCGAGATGGGAAGCCTGATATAAGACACTTCTTAGATATGAAAGTGCCTGAGATGGAAGACCTGATATAAGCCATTTCTTAGATATGAAAGTTCCCGAGATGGGAAACCTGATATACGCCACTTCTTAGATATGAAAGTGCCCGAGATGGGAAACTTATATAAGCCACTTCTTAGATATGAAAGTGCACGAGATAGGAGACCTGATATAAGCCACTTCTTAGATATGAAAGTGCCCGAGATAGGAAACCTGATAAAAGCCACTTCTTAGATATGAAAGTGCCCGAGATGGGAAACCTGATAAAAGCCACTTCTTAGATATGAAAATGCCCGAGATGAGAGACCTGATATAAGCCACTTCTTAGATATGAAAATGCACGAGATGAGAGACCTGATATAAACCACTTCTTAGATATGAAAGTGCACGTGATAGGAAACCTGGTATGAGCCATTTCTTAGATATGAAAGTGCCTGAGATGGGAGACTCGGTAAAAACCACTTCTTAGATATGAAAGTGCCCGAGATGGGAGACCTGATAAAAGCCACTTCTTAGATATGAAAGTGCAGGAGATGGGAGACCTGCTATAAGCCACTTCTTAGATATGAAAGTGCAGGAGTTGGGAGACCTGATATAAGCCATTTCTTAGATATGAAAGTGCATGAGATGGGAGACCTGGTATAAACCACTTCTTAGATATGAAAGTGACTGAGATGGGAGACCTGATATAAGCCACTTCTTAGACATAAAAGTGCAGGAGATGGGAGACCTGGTATAAGCCACTACTTAGATATAAAAGTGCAGGTGATGGGAGACCTGATATAAGCCACTTCTTAGATATTAAAGTGCCCGAGATGGGAGACCTGATATAAGCCACTTCTTAGATATGAAAGTGCCCGAGATGGGAGACCTGATATAAGCCACTTCTTAGATATGAAAGTTCCCGAGATGGGTACCTGATATAAGCCACTTCTTAGACATGAAAGTGCATGAGATGGGAGACCTGGTATAAGCCATTTCTCAGACATGAAAGTGCAGGAGATGGGAGACCTGGTATAAGCCACTACTTAGATATGAAAGTGCAGGTGATGGGAGACCTGATATAAGCCACTTCTTAGATATGAAAGTGCCCGAGATGGGAGACCTGATATAAGCCACTTCTTAGATATGAAAGTGCCCGAGATGGGAGACCTGGTGAGAGACTGAGTTTCTTTGAAGCCGACATGAATGACAGCCGCAGGATGATGATTAACGTTGACTGACAGGAGTTTAGATAGGTTTGCAATGATGAGGTCTCATGTGGGAGACCCAGGTTCCACACCTCGGTGAGTTAATGGATCTGTATTTTGTCGATGGCGAGAACAAAATCCTTACCTGTGTATGTATAGACTTCTGTACTGGTCATGTGGCTCTGAATCATTATGCATTAGACCCCTCTTGTAAAGTAAAGTCGAGAGATGTGAACCAGCGTCAATGCACACGGTTATAAACCATAAGTGCTCTGCCACCAGTAAAGACAGCTTATATGAAACTGTCCACCTGTGTCGCCTTCCGCACGCAATTCCGTAGCTACAGTGACATTCCTCCATTTACCCCAGAGTGTTAACTTTGGTACCAATTACATAGAGGCTGGGTGAACCCCGAGAACCGCCCGGTTTCAAACACCAGCCGTGGGCTGCAGCGAGTCACAGCTGGATTTAAAAG